GGGGAAGAAATGCAACACACGTTTACAGTTTGAAGAAAAAAAAAATTAAATGCATGATTTGCCATTAGGGTCTTTTCTGTTAGGCCAAATAAAAAAAAAAACATGTTTAGCGTCCTGTTTTTTCAAAAAATAGGAAGGAGGAGGCCCTTTTTCTTTAAAAATGGCCGCTCAAAATGGCCACTCGGTACGTTTTCCCTGACAGTCGGGCTATTTTTCAAGATGGCCTACGATATTTTTTATTTGTATTTTTTTTAATCAGATATGGATCCATTTAGCAGTGTTTTTCATGTTTTTTTCTTGAAAAAAAAAATTCAACAAAAAAATAGGAGGCGGCCCCCAAAAAGGAAGCGAGCGGGGACGGTAAACATGTATATTTTTTTTAATAGCCTTATTCCATTTATTAATTTTTAGGACAATGCATATGGGTGTAGTGAGACATTAGGTAAAGAAGGGGCGAAATCAAAATATGGCATTTCTGCACGGACATGTTCATATACCCCGGAAAAGTGGGGATACAAAAATGCCTACCCCAGTCACAATATTGTACCCTTCCTCCATATTGAAATTTGGAATAAATTGATGATGAAACACAAAACAAACAACTTCCGTACATAAAAATTTACAAAAATATTGAGACCATCAAGTCCATAGATGTAAGTCGTTTTTTTTTTCTTTCTTAACAATCAAACTTAAAGGATGATGAAGATCAGATAAATCTAAAAGTATATTAAGTGTATATTAAAGGCAAGAAAATAAAATATGATGAAATACACATGAACAAAAACAGTCTTGAAAGAGAAGAATGAGCTATAAAAAGTGTGTAATAAACGAGAAATGTATATGGACCATCAATTTAAGTGCACAAAGTGCTAATTTGAATGCTACAAATGAATTTGAATGCTAAAAGTACACCTTCGCGATTTCAAAAATCGTGTTGCGCCAAATTGAATGACCAAATAGTGAAAGAAGCACATTATTCATTAATTAGAATGAAGCATACATAGATTCCAACAAAAACTTCATAGATTTGAAAACTAGAAAAAATGAATATAAACCCAAGATATATCTGACAGCACTAAAACCATCGAATTTGAACGCAAGAAAAATTAATTAAAATGACAAACTCGCGAATTTGGCCGGAAAATCCTATAATTATCCCTGATGATGTACACATTATACCTTATATTTATAATAGGAAACGAAATAGAGAACGAGCGGCTGATAATGTCGAAATGAGAAGAACATTACTGTACAATAATTATACAAAGTAAAACTTTTGAATGTAAATCCCTGTTGCATCAAACTGATATAAAAAAAATGTTTATTATGCTATATTAACGGTACTATTATACGTCGGATATTATACTTTAGCCCAAAGATATAAACAAAACAAAACAACGAAATGGAAAGAAAAAAATCTGAGTTGGGGGGGGGGGGGGAGGGGGGAGGGTCAGTCAGAAAAAAATATGATAATAATAATAACAGTACAGACTACGTCCAACTTTCTATCTCTCCCCCTCTCTCTCTCTCTCTCTCTCTCCCTCTCTCTGTCCGTCTGTCTCTCTGTCTATGTCGTTTTCCATCTTCACCTTTAATAATGTTGTCTATTTCGCCATTTGCTTGTATGCCGGTATCATCCCTTCCTTGAGATTAATTATTAAAACATATCCCTGATGTTATCGGACATTATACTTTAGCGAAAAGATATACTGTAATCAAACAAAACAGAGACAAATTAAAGAAGAAAATCAAAGCTGGGGGGGGGGGGGGGGGGTGATCGAAGAGACAAATATCATTATAAAAAAAAATACAGTATACAGGTTATGTCCAACTTTCTATCTCTCTTCCCCCCTCTCTCACATAAAGCCCCCCTCCCTCCCCTCTCGCATATACCCCCTCTTACATATACCTTGTATTTAGTATAGGGAACGAAATAGAGAACGAGCGGCTGATAATGTCGAAATGAGAAGAATATTACTGTACAATAATTATACAAAGTAAATCTTTTGAATGTAAATCTCTGTTGCATCAAACTGATATAATTATATTAAAAAAAAAACTATTATGCTATATTGACGGTACTATTATACGTCGGAAATTATACTTTAGCCCAAAGATATAAACAAAACAAAACAGACAAAAAAGAAACAAATCTGAGCTGGGGGGGGGGGGGGGGGGTGGGAGTCGGTGAGAAAAATATCATAATATATAATTACGACATCTCCATCATACATGTAATTTATATATATATTTGATTTATAAGTATACAAATGAAAACAAATAACACTAATAATATCTTGACAATATGATTCAAGAATGTCAAACAACTTATCTTCAATGGAGTCCTATTAACAAATTAAGTAGTCATTTTGCGTTTTCATTTAAGTAATCACAGTCAAAATGAAGAATGAGTACAAGACAAGATTTACTTTTAAATACTTTGAGAATAACAATTAATATAAAAGAAATACAACTAATTGCTCTCCTTTAAAAAGTTAAAGGGACTTAGTAACATTGTTGAGATGAGAGAAATGAGTTAGTGACTTCAATGGGAAAGCTCCATCTCTCAGGGATTGTTGAAAAGTGCCACATTATGATGTACGCCGACGATACAATATTGTACTACAGTGGGAAAGATATTAAAGACATTGAATCTGTACTGAATAAGGAGCTTGAGATAGTCAATAAATGGCTGACACAAAATCATCTCAGGTTGAATTTATCAAAAACTCAATATATGGTTTTTGGCTCCCATAGGAAACTTACAAAATGTGGTGATATAAATCTGGCTGTTGACAACCATGAGCTGGAAAGAGTTAACACCTATAAATATCTTGGGGTTTGGATGGATGAGACATTAACCTGGCAAAAACATATTGAAGAAACAATGAAAAAGATTGGTTCCCGACTTGCACTCTTTGGTAGACTCCGAAAATACCTCACGGTTGACAGCTCTAAAGTCTTAGCTAACTCACTTATATTACCTTACTTTGACTACTGTAGCAATTCATGGTCCACATGTGCACAATATTTGAAAGACGGTTTGATAAGACAACACAAGAAAATGGCCCGGTTGATCTTAAAAGTCAATTATTCTACTCCCATTGAACAGGCATATAACAAATTAAAATGGGTTTCAATTGAAGAAAGGTGGCAATTCCATAAATGCAAAACAGTGCACAGTGTACTCCGCGGGGAAGCACCAGTTTACCTCATTGAACTTTTTGTACGTTCAGAAAGTATACATTCACACCGGACAAGAAATGCAGTGCACAATGGTGTTGTGGTGCCACTTGTCCGCACACAGGCTGGTAAAAAAGCCTTTTCCCATTGTGCTTCCGTTCTCTGGAATCGGCTGGATAGTGGTATTCGGGGCGCTGTTTCTAGGCAGTCCTTTGCTACTTCATATTGGAGAATTAGAAATCAGTAGATGGTTTGGTATGAACACAAACACATCAACAAACAAAAAAAAAAAAAAAAAATCATTATGGGGTAGCGAGGGAGAGTAGTGTTTGGAGGTAGTGCCTCGGACCCTGCGGTCCAGTTGGTTCCGGCAAGCGGAGGCATTGTGGGAGCCTTATAGGTTTTTTTTTTTTTTTTTTTTTTTTTTTTTTTTTTTCTTTTTCTTCTTCTTCTTCTTTTTTTCTTAAAAGTTTAATATTTCGTGCAGGTCTGATGTCTTAGTAATATTTGTTGTTCTGTATTCATTTACATGTTTGTAATTTGTGTTGTACTATTGCAGGGCCCCCGAGTATAACAGTGTTTTACTCACTGATGGGGTTACCCTGGGTAAATAAAACAAAATAAATAAATAAATAAAAAAATTATTACAATTTAACTTATGTGAATGTAAATTGTCACAAATCAATAAATTGGCTTTATACCATTCCAAACATTTAAGTGTTGAAAGATTTGTATAAGCTTGTTTTATCTTCATGGAAAAACGGTGACGCCTTCAAAGAAAACCATAAAATTATCTTTGTGATTTGAGAATTTTCTCAGGATATTTTGCCTGTTATTATAGAGAGTAAGAACAGAAGAAGGAATATAATAAGTATCGTTTCATACAAAAATTACACAGTTTGTGTATCAATTAACCTTCAACAATTTATATTTTGCATTTGATCTCATGTTATGCACTATGTGATATTAGAGAGAAAGACTATTTATTTAATTTTATCCTATCTAATCATGTCACAATACGGACTGAAAATCACAAATTATGGTTGTTTTTTCCTTGAAATATTTCCAAATTCGAACTCAAACGGAATTTGTGTCATATAATATATGCTCACAAGACTAATAATAGTCCTATGAAATCACAACATCGGTTCATGTCATTCTTTCTATACAGTAGTACTACTTTAGCTAAACTGGCTGTCGGAAAAAGTATGCTACTGGTCTCGATCTCGCTCTCTGTCCCCCGCTCGCGTTATTTTTTGCTGCAGCACAGATTGGGGTTAGGTGCGTGTTGAGCATAATAAGGTTAGGGTTAGGGTTAGGGTTAAATAAAGACCCTTTTTTTTTAAAGCCCCAATCTGTGGCGCAGAAAAAAATGACGCAGAAAAAAATGACGCCCCCCCCCCGCTCCGCCCAAGACCCCTTTATTAAGTTTTTATGCTATGAGTGAATTGGCTTTCAATGGCACATTGACGAGTTTGCTGTGGTTGGTCTATAACCACGCAGTATTCCTCCAAATTCAACTTATAGAAAGTAGACCCCTGGCCCCCTCCCTCGCTTACCGGATGATGACAATAAATCACTTTTGTTAAGAAATTTAACCGATCATGAGTTCCTTTTTCTACTATATACGTGTGAGTCAAAAAAAGTTTACACTCAGAGAATTGTCATTTATTTTAAAAACCAGCTAGGAACGAAAGGTTATCATACATGTTTTGAAAGAGTGTTATATCCATAGAGATATAATCTCTATGGTTATATCCCAGATATTCCTGCAATCATCAGCAAATTGGCAATGTACAAAATACAATGTGATCAAAGCGGTCTTTATCGTCGCAAATTTCAAAGAAAATAAAATCGACGCGAAAATGGCAGCGATCTCTGCTTTGCAAGCGTATGAAAGTGACGAAAGCGATGAAGACATTAGTGATAAGGAGGCCCATTCTGAAGATGTAACGGCACATCTTAGACCACTGGAAAAGAATCGGACGGTTCAATCACTGCAAGTGAAATTACAGTTGAATGCAGCACCAACTGTCGACGAAACGAGCGACGTGAGTATAGTGTGGTCCCACATGTCAGAATTGATGTCAGATTAAGTGTTAACTCCAGGAAGCTCCGACGCCGACGCCATCGCCAAAGGCGTCGGATCTTCAGCGGGTGCATAGGAAAACATTCAAACAGCGGGTTGGGCGACATTATCTCAAAATATGCAAAGGGAGTAATTACAAATTTGACTTACTAGGTTGCTCGACTCCCCTGGGCATCTGGCTGGCCACTTGAAATTATAATTTGAAGAAGTTTCTGATGGGGAAAAGGGGGTGATTCTTTGTACTACCCCGACGATTCTTCCATGTTGTATCTTCGACTCAACATGGCGAAGAGAAAGTACGCATGCGCTGAAGCTCATTCCCCACTTGATTTGAAAAATACGAAGTTAAGAAAGTTGAGAGTGCATAAATTGATTTTAAATGATTGTTGACTTGGAATGAATGAAGGATTTTGTTTGGCATTTCCTCCTCTTCCTTCTCCTCCTCCTCCTCCTCCTCCTCCTCCTCCTCCTCCTCCATATAGCATTAACAGCATGTTTCTTTTTACTTACATGTACACATCACTGTTTTTATACTGGATATAATTTAGAAATTGTACACCCTTTTGTTGTCTGTTACTTCACCTGCTGTCACAACACATCTCATCCCAGTATAGCTTGGAAAAGCTGCTTCAGGGATTACCTCATCAAGTATCCAGCTCCTTCTCCTCCTCCTCCTTTTTTTTTTGTTGGTACTCCTCTTTCTCCTTCTCCTCCTTCATCTTTTTCTTCTTTTTCCTTTTCTTCTTTTGTGTACATTTAAATGTAACTCAGAACTCTATACTAGTGCTGTAAGTCAGACGCTATGTTCGTGTTCGGTTCGGTTCGGCAGAGTTCGGCAATTTTTCACCCGAACTTGGTTCGGTAATTTAATAGCAAGCAGCGTTATAGCCACGGCGGTTGGGACTGGGCAGGCTGCCCGCCCTGCCGGGCCCGACCGGCACGGAGGACTTCTGCACACTGCTTCCGACCAGCACAAATTTCACATTAAAAAACTGCTCTAAACGTAATTATTTGTGAAGAAAAATACTACTTACATTCGTATTTCCGTCTTGAATCGTGTTTTATTTTCAATTTTAAAAGAATCATGTTTCCAATTTGTCAATAAATGATATTTTTAAAAGATTTTCCGAGACGGTTGTTGTCTAATGTTAGAGTCATAAAAGTTGCCATCTTGAATAGAGACTTTAGGGCTCGCCAAGAACTGTTTTTTATAAGTTTTTATTTTCAATAGGAAAAATATAAAATCCCTATTTTTCCTGAATAAATAAATACCATACTATATTATATATTTATTTCATTATTTATATTGTAAAATTTGCCTGATATGGTTACAATTAAAATATTAATTTTTTGTTCAATGGGTTTGAGCAAATTGAGCTGAACTTGTTTTGATCACGCACATGTATTATTGTTTATGGCTTGCGATCGCAACGTAGCGTGGTCAGGATTTGGGATTTAAATGGCGCCAGTAGGCGCATTTATACTGTCAAATACCTCATTTTGAAAAGTCGCGATGTTTCGTGCACCCGGTTACACTTGTGCTGAAACATCACCGACGGAGCTGTTCAGCGATGTTTTGGCGTGTTTCGGTTGGTAAGGCGCATGTGCAGTCTTCCCGACCTTTGACCCCGGCCTGCTATAAGATTTTTAGCGCGCGCAATTTCCAGCTAGCGCTATAGCTAGCTAAATAGCGATACATCCCATGCGCATGCATGCGATATGTTTTGTTTATCTCGCGTGTAGTATTTGAGGCAAGAGTGGATAAGTTACGAAGTACGGACTACGGCTGCTGATTCAGTTTTCCCAAATTCAATCGAAATCTAGTAGTAAAAACGATATGGGAAGGTTAAGAAAATCATCGTTGTTAATTGTTAATTTCATGCTTTCACTCATTTCTCTGAAGCCCTTTTCCCCCACGTTTGCAGGGACGCTTGGAAGTCTGGTGGAGGAGCTCTCCCTGCCTCCACATCGAAATCAAGAACTTCATCTCATCATCAGTCCAATGGGAATTGTTCACTTCCATATTAATTAATCTAACAAAACACTCAAATACTACTACTAGACAGATATGGCCAGACGGGAATAACGAAGATTGAATAAAGGATGAGTTAACGGAATTGGAACAAACGGAGCTGAATGAACGGATAACACGCGCGACGTTGGAAATGCTATAAATATCACACGGGAAGAACGTGGTTTAAAAGAGCGCGGGTAACAATCCGGAAGTGCCGGAAGTCACGTGCCTAACATCGCGATGTTACAACTGCGAGCGGTTATACTTGCCAAACACGCCAAAACACGCCAAAACACGCCAAAAGATCACACTTCGTTTTGGAATGTTTGGGGCTTGGCATGTCTGCCGGTAAAGCGTAGTTGCCCTTGGTAACATCGCGGCCAGGCTCCGGTTTGGCATTTTTTGGCGTGTTTGGATGACAGTGTAACTGCCCCTAGTGAAGTTGCGCCCACCACTGGATAGGCATAAAACACAAGGGCGGAAAATGGGAAAAAAGTAAATATAATATGAGCAATCATAACATGAAAATTAGGTACAAAATGAAAAGTTTATTAGCTTGCAAAAACGTTTACATTTTTTTTGCCGAACATCCGAACCAGGCCTTTGCGTTCGGTTCGGTTCGGTTCGGTTAGGAAGTGCCATGTTCGGCGAACTTCCGTTCGGTTCGGCAGTTCGGCTACAGCACTACTCTATACCATATCAAAGGTTGTATTATAACTCTAATAATAATTTTTGTCACAAACTTGTTCTTTTAATTCACATTTTTCTCTTCTTCCTGCCATCTAAGTGTATCAATTACCAGAACATGGAAACAAAAAATGAACATATTTAATTTAGGGTCCAAATATAGGCCTATACTTACTTAAGCTCTAAATTATTATTTGCTTAATAACTTTAATGTTCTGTTGTCTCTTTTACCTCCTTTCCAGTATGGTACTAACCCTTACCAGCCCCTAGATCCATCTACAAAGACAGTGTCTTATAATCCTCAGTATGAGCAGATGTACAAGCCACAGGTAAGTAATAATTATAATGATGATGATGATGATGATGATGATGATGATGATGATGATGATGATGATTAAGGAGGATGATGATGATGATGATAATAATGATGGTGATTATGAGGATAATAACAATGACAGTAAAAAATAATAATAATAGTAACAAAAATGATAATAATTATGGTAGTCATATAATGATGGAAATGATGTGGTCTTATTTTATCAAGTGTAGCCTTATCACTATTAATACTGTTTTTCCTGAGAATCATATTATTACCTTTGCTTTAGCCATGCTACCATGCTATATTTAAAGGTGATAGTATTTTCAACAGGAATTGATGTTAAAATGAAAGCATTTGCCAATATTTAATTCAATTCCTGTTAAATTGATATCTTACTTTAGCATTCAGCTTGGATCAATAGGCTGTCTTTATTCAGAATAATAGATAATACATAGTGCCGTGAAGTTTGTGCTTTAAAAAAAAAATAAAACAGTTATATCCTTTTAATGTTTTATTATTGTATTTTCCTGTCCTTTAGGCTGGTCCTGCTAACCCCTTCAGGACTCAGCAACAGGCTGCTGCTAAGAATACTCTAGCTGGTTACGTGGAACCTGCCCATCTAAATCCCTTCCATTTTGAGAACCAGAGAAGAACATTCTCAAGCTATGGTAGGAAATAGAATCTTGCAATTGAGTTTTCATACTGTTGTAACTAAGATTCATGAATAATATGAAAAGAAAATGTATGTTCCATCATAAAATGATTGTTTTTATACTTCCATGTATTTATTAAACAAATATGATGACTGTGGCCAAGATATGCTTTCGACAGATTTAGTTGGCCCTGAAAAGGCCAACTAGTTCGTTTGTACCTTGTTTTTATTTTGTCTTTATTTAAATTCATATGATTTGACTGCAGGCAGGAGATTTCACTCTTAAGATCATGATGGTTATTAGAACCGTACAATATTTTTTACACTTGTATACACTTCTTGTTCATTCTCCATTTCCTCGTCAGGTTTTGCTGTTGATCCCAGCACTGAGACGGGTGGGAAACATATTGTGTCCAATAAAGAGGGAACCGAGCCGGAAGAAGGTAGGAATAGTTATATTTTGAAGAACAACTATAACAGCAACAACAGCAGCAGCAGCAAAAACATTATGGGAAATTCAATTATTCTGTGTATTTTGACACTAATGTGCACGTTTGGTAGGACAGTGAACCAAATACAGTACACGCCGAAAATCTCCGCAACACGATTTACACGATTCAAAATTTACACGATTCGACTGCTCGCGGGAATCGTGTAACCATTTATTTTTACACGATTCGTTTTTTGCCAATGAAGCGAAATTTGAATCGTGTAAACGTGTAATCGTGTAAAATTACACGATTCCTCAATTCAGGTCGAATCGTGTAATCGTGTAATTTGCCCGCCGAAAATCTCCGCAACACGATTACACGATTCAAAATTTACACGATTCGATTGCTCGCTGGAATTGTGTTACAATTTATTTTCAGTGGTGATGGTGAACAGGTTAAGGACGTCTAGTTCAGTAAAAGCAAGAAGTTACTTCTTGGTTGAACGAGGACAACGTGGACGATACGAGGGGATAGCGAAGATTACGCTTTCTTTCTCTTGTATATATTTTTAATTGCAGTGTCTTGTCTCTAATTTTATTATAGAATGTTTGAAAGTTAAAAAAAATCAGTCCACTTCCCGAAAAGCACTCTCGGATTTAATCCTCGGTGAGAAAAAAGAAAAAAGCGATGAACGACGAAGGAAGGGGGGAATTTTGTTATTCCCAAGTTGTAAATGAGTAAAAATGATTACAAAATGTAAAGGAGGGCTAACATAATTAAGTATGTTGTGATACTCTTACATTACAAGGCTGTACCAATTAGAATTACGAAAACCAAGGTTTGTCGACAAACCTCCTTTGTGAATTCGGGCCTTAGACTTTGATCACTTATTGCTTTTTTAGCGTTCCTCATTTTCGTAAATTACCTTTTACAACATTGCATTATTCAGCTATATGTGTAAAGAGCTACGGTCAAGGCTTAAGGGCACACTTCCTGTCACATACAAAAGAAGCTTACTCTGAATGTGGCCTGCCATTGACCCTCGCCGGGGACAAAGGCCGTTGCCCTAGCTACAGGCAGAGATCCTTACATAATACCTATTGTTCAGGGGGTTCCCCTTGAACATAGGATCCCCCTGAACAATAGGTATTACATGTACGTAAGTATGTAAGCCACTGGCTACAGAGTTTAGGGAACAGTTCCAAGCCAAGAATGAATAGAATAAGTGAATGGCCAACTTTCTTTGAGTTACGTTTAGCTAGCGGCACAGTGTCCCCCCACTTTTTCAAGTTCCCCCAAAGTGCCCCTTTGTATGTAGGAAAAGTACCTATTTTACTTTGACAAGTGTCCCTATTAATTTGTAAAAGTGCCCCTTCCCCTTTTCAACTCTGATAAGTACTCCTTTTCTTTTGACACACACCCCTTTTCCTTCGACGAGTTCCTATTTTCCTTTACAATAAGTGTCCATTTTCCATTCTCATTAGTGTCCTTTTAATCTCTAGTAAGTATCCCTCTTTAAGTACGAGAAGTGCCCCTCTTCACTTTTGATAAATGCCCCCATCAACTCCGATAAATGCCCCTATTAAAATCTGATCGGTGCCCCTTTTCTTTCAACTAAAGCTTTTTTTTTATCTCTCTCTCTCTCTCTCACTCTCTCTCTTTCTTTCAATATCTTTCCATTCCCCCATATCTTTCTCGCCTCTCTTTCCCTCATTATGTTCCCCTCGTACCTTATTAATTTGTCTCTTTTCCTCTCCGTTTCATAGCCTTCTCATTTCTGTTAATTCTACTAGGTTTCGTCCTTCTTTTTTTATCACTCTATTTCACTCTTTCTTTTCTTCCGGTCAACTTTTTAGTTTTCCCTTTTTTCTCTCTTTTTTCTGTTTAACTTTATCGTGCCTTTCAACCCTCATTTTCCTTTTATATGTTCCCTTCTCCTCGTAGCTATCTTTTTTCCTTTACTATTTCATCTATCATGTCTTCCTGTTTCTGATGTTTTCCTACCTTGTCTCACGGATTAGTATACGATACATGTTAGTGGAAAGTGCTGAGGTTTATACACGAATATAAAGTACAGTAATTAACTGATGTACACTGAAGGTAAGTTGTGTATAAAGCAATTGGTGTCAGCAGGATAAGATTTAACGATTGTTGCAGCTTGTCGCATCGTTCTACCAATGCCCTTATAACCCTAATAACTATTTACACGATTACACGATTCAGAGCGACATTCTTCAATCGTGTAAATTTACACGATTACACAGTTACACGATTGTTACATCTGGTCGAATCATCCCACCAATGCACTTAACTATTTACACGATTACACGATTCAGAGCGACATTCTTCAATCGTGTAAATTTACACGATTACACAGTTACACGATTCAGGTGAATCGTGTAAACCGTGTAATCCTAAAAATAAATCGTGTAATCGTGTTGCGGAGATTTTCGGCGTGTACTGTATCTCATTCAGTGGCTGCTGAGCAGTGGTCCAAAGAATGAAAATATTTTGAACTGATTGTGAATTACTTCACATTTGGAACATGGCCATTAAAATAATTTGAAAAATACTTGGATGAAAGGAAAAGTGATATTGATTTAACAAGGAAAAACTCCGATACCATACATATGACTTTGCTAAATGCACTGAACCATGCCCTATGCTGTACCATAGTGTACATCCTTTACATGAACAAAATATATTAATCAGATTCTATTTTAATGAACAATGTTTTGATCGAACTGAATTTCTCTTATTACCCAACATTCACAAAATATTCTTTGGGGTTTCATTTATTTATTTTAGATAATTCTTATAGTATTGATCAACTTAAGGCTCCATTTTTTCTGACATGCATTACTAATACAAAAAAGATGAAGGCAACTACATGCATATGTCTGAAGTAAGCCATTCTAGTTTAAAAATGTAGTTAATACTTGCAAATTTGTATGTTTTTATCCAAATTGGGCTTGTCCTAGTCTTTTACAATACATCTGCTATTTTGCATTATATCATTATGTTATTACTTGCGCAGGTAAAACAGTCTTTGAGTCGGTAGAGTTAAGGGAAGCTGACAAACGTAAGAGAGTGAAGAACAGAAATGCTTCAGACATCGAGGGCTTTGAGGGTCCTTGGGGGAAGTATGTGGACGAGAAGACTGTAGCAAAGCCTTCTGAGGTAGGTGTTGCTCTATTCTAAATAATCTATTTACCTATATACTATTTGTGGTGATGTCGGGGTGAAGTGGTTCATTCACTTGACTCTCACTCTAAGGGTTAAGGGTTCAAATCTCAGCCAGGCAAGACATTAATCCACATTTGCCATTCTTCACCCAGGTGTAAAAGGGATACCTGGCTGGGCTAATAATTGCAGGGCCTTCAGGAAGAAAAGCTCTGATGCTGACGAGCCCTCCCTGGGTAAACTAAATTATTATTATTATTACCTCATTAAAAATTGAGGTCCCGCGTTGCTTAATTGGTATTATATGTGACATATTGTTTTTATCATTGGTCTAAGCAGAGCTGTGAACCTTATACAAGGATATCCTTGGTTCAAAGCCAAGTTTGTTGTTGATGTTTATGAAGTAGGCAAAGGTCCACAATTCTGTAGGATAAGACTTGGAGCTTTATTGGATGGTTTGCTTATAATTCAAAGGCCTTTCGTATCTAATTAGGGATATGAAAAGCTACAATGGTATGGATTCATAACCCCTCATACACTTGATTTCTGAAAAGATCTTCTGCAAAAGAAAATGCATTCCATTCTGCACCTTAAATCAACTTCTGCTGAATACTTCCTAATTTGTGTATGTATTTTGTGTAATTTGTCATCTTTAAAATCATAAAAGGTAAGGTAAGGTACATGAAAGGTTGGAATATTTCCATGTTATTTTGTATTGGAAGAGCAGACAGAGCTAGGTGAAACCCTTTCATTTTGCACCTGAAATGGAATCAATTTCTGCTGAACACTTGCTTATTTTTGATGTATTTTGTGCTATTTGTAATCTTTAAAATCATAAAAGATAAAGTATGGAACATATATATATTTTTTTCCTTGTTATTTTTTTATAGGAAGAGCAGACAGAGTTAGATGAGATCCTTGCTAAGAGAGCTAAAAGAGGCAAGAAGGTGGATGATAAACCAGCAGAAGAGAAGACTACGCTGCACAGTAAGTCGTACGAGCAGATAATAATAATACTTATAATAATAGTGGCTACTTGTATAGAGCACAGGTCCACCTTTTAAGGAGCTTAATGTTGCCTCAGTGTAAAATTGAAAAGCTCCTAAGCAGGATACACATCAAAGAGCTTTACAGGACCTACACATGTTACAGGGTTCCAGGAGTTATTCTAAAAATGGACAAAACGAGAGTGAAGCATCAGCTAAAACAATGTGATGCCAGCCCAGCAGCTACCAATTCCTTATCTCCCATTCTGGGTTGGGTTGTTGTATGTTTTGTGAGGGGTGTTCAATCAACAAAAAATGAGGGGGGGGGGGGGTACATTTTCAAGGGCACAACACATATTTTTATCAAATTTAAAGTATGTGTAGGTTTTCACAACAATATATTACCAACTTTTTGTCTGTTTTGAGAAGGAGTTTGACGTAATATTAAGTTTATGTTGTTGTTTGTAGCTCAGTATATTCTTATGAAATTCCTGTAGGTATGTCTATCCCTCCCCCTCCCCCCCCCCCAAAAAAAAAAAATGGATTAAAGATACTTTCAGAATGAAAACAAAATAGGAATACACAGCCTTTTGATTATTGCATGAAATAATTTAGATTAACAAAATATTCTTTCCTTTTTTAAAATTAATGAATTTCTTGATACATAGACCGGTTATGCTCTGATTAAAAAAACCTGAAGAATGTTAAATAACTATCACATTCCCCAAGACTAGACGTTGATTTTGGGTCAGACCGGTTAACAAATCCTCAGTCAAACGACCAATGTTTGATAGATCAACCATTCAAGCAACCTCCAACTAATCAACCAAACTACCTCGCTTTTCTTTTCCACCTACCAGTCAAGGATGCCTACGACTACCAGGGTAGATCCTACCTTCACATACCCCAAGACCTGGACGTGGATCTCAAGTCTGAGCTGCCTCCAGAGAAGTGCTACCTGCCCAAGAAGGCCATCCACCAGTGGACCGGACACACCAAGGGCGTGGCAGCGATCAGGCTCTTCCCTGGCTCCGGCCATCTTCTGCTGTCCTGCGGGATGGACAGTAAAATCAAGGTACTACTATTATACAAATAATACACAGCAGTGAGGGCATTAGTATGAACAGTCTATCATGCCTGAGGTGATAGCCGAGGGTGTTTGGACTGTTTGAAAGGTACCGAGTGTGGGTAATTTTACTAATGCCCGAACAAAATGATGTGTATTATTTGTTTTATAAGATTATGTTTTGTTTGTTTTATAAAATAATTTTGCTAATGACTGGTCATTAGCATTTGATAATGATCGGTCATTATCAAAATTACGTGTTAGGCAAAATAAATGCCTGGTCATGTGTACACTCTCAATCAAATATTTGATGAGGATCCACGTCATCATCTTATAAACCCTATTATAAACAAAGAAATCCGAGTGAATCTGTCCCTTTAAAGAAGTTTTATTTTGTTGTGTTAACTAGCAGTATCATATATATATATATATATATATATATATATATATATATAGCTTGTAATGACATTTTAGATGATATTGCGGATTTATGTTTAATCAGCATGACTAATACAATGTTATTCCCTCATCCATCCAAAAATAAAACTCACAAATGGCTAAATACATCAGCTTTGCCACATCAATTAGGCATGATTGATAATATTCTTTGACTGTTCAATTGTTCCACTGACAAAATAAGAAGGCTAAGATGGTATTACATGTATAATTTTGAAAAACTTGTCATTTTGAATGGGTAAAAGTGTTATTAACATCTGATCATTTTTCATTACTTCTAAGATATTTTGCTTATTTTCCAATAGAATTATTTTTTAAATGAACCTTATGAGATGTTGCACAAAAGTTCATTGTTATGCAACTTTTGCTCATTGTGCTCATGCTTTCAGTGTAATTAATAAAATTCAAAACTATATTAAAAAAAAAAAATTCATGTGTTATTTTTGTATAATATTATGATGAATTGAATTCTTGTTGTTTGTAGATTTGGGAGGTTTACAACCAGAGGAGATTAGTCAGAACTTACACAGGTCACAAACAGGCCGTCAGAGATATATGCTTCAACAACGATGGAACAAAGTTTCTCAGTGCTGCCTACGATCGTTACATCAAGCTTTGGGACACAGAAACAGGTTTGTTACCTTTGCTTTTTTATCACAAGTCAGAATGTTCCATACTTCTCAGTTTTGAACTGCTTAAAGCCCTACTGCACTATTTATAGCTACTTGTGCCCTCTATATAACAAACAATGCCTAATCGGTAGCCGTTGGTCCCCCATGGTCCCCATTTTCTTACGCAGGGAGGTCTAATCCCTCCTGGCCAAACTAGTGTGGATAGGCTTTAAAGTTTTGTCCTTATACAGAAAAGAACAAACATATCTTTGTTATAAGGGGTTCATCAGATAACGTTTTGTAAAAAATGTGAGTTATGCTGTATCTTGTAATGGGATGATCGTAAAAAGTTTGAGATCCCTGTAAGGTTTTGGTGGCCATTTGCCCTTGGACCCTTGTTAGAGTAAAGTCCTTCTTAGCGACCCAAAGGCATTTACTTAATCTCAATTCACTTTTACCCAGTTAAACCCAGAAAAAAAAAATCCCAAAGTCCTATGAAACTATATAGAGATGTTACACATCACATTGCATAATCTGACATGGAAAAATAAAAAATACAAAAATAGAATTTTGTTCTTGTTAGTGTTGTCTTCATTGTTATCCATTTGATTTTATTTATTTATTACTGTTCGGTTTTCTTTTTCTTTTGCAGTTTTACAAATATATAACAAACAAAACATTTAACATTTTACACATGACAAAAGAACATATATAGAATAAAGTAAGGCTGGCTGTAACAAATCGAAAACATCAAACTTATACCATATTTTGTATTTCATTGCAGGGGAGTGTATTGAGAAGTTTACGAGTCGTAAGGTTCCGTACTGTGTGAAGTTCAACCCAGAGGAGGACAAACAGCACATCTTTGTGGCTGGCATGTCAGACAAGAAAATTGTACAGGTGGGTTGACAGTAATACTTAGACTTAGATCATCCTTGAGGGGGGGGGGATCCACAAAACATGTCATCAGTAAAAAATGACAGTTTTTGTTATAAGCTACTGAAATCCTTGCTTCTGATTGGTTATCAGCAGATTTGTCACTGATTTTTGTCATTGAAAAAAGGCTTTGTGAAACGGGCCCTGTACCGGTGAGCACATTGGGCAGCAAGCTTTCTCCGATGTCTTTGATCAGCCGGTGTTCTATCAAAGTCGTGCCATTCTAGATTCATCGCCTTCAGATCATCTTGGAAGGTTCTTCGCCCGGTGATCCTGGGCCTTCTCTTTTGCATTTTCCCTTCTGTAAGGATCCACCACAGAGGTGGTTTAGAGTGCAGTTGGTCTGGAAGATGTAGAATTAAAAAAAAAATTTAAGGAAAAAATAAAAATGAGAAAAGAGAAAGCTTACAGTAATAGCAAATAGTGGGTTTTTATTAAAGGGAGCCTAGTTGAATATTAAATAGAATCAGTTAATGGACATTGGTTCAAGTTTTAACACATTGGTGTTTTCATATTTCTATAGTTTTCATGACTTGAACTCTTCTACAGTATCTTTTTCTTCTTTGTATAATTTTTAAATAAGCTATTGAATTTCCTATGTCTCTTAGAGAGAAAATTAAGAAGAATAAAACAGGTAATGGTGTACTCGTAATACATTTTACGAGGTTTTAATGTGGGTAAAATCATAGGGATGATGTAAGATAGCATGCTTTAAAATTGAGAAATACAACTCAAACCTTAAAATTTCACAATCTCCCTTTGCTCTTACAGTGGGACATAAGAAGCAACGAGATCGTTCAGGAGTACGATCGCCACTTGGGAGCCGTCAACACCATCACGTTCGTCGATAACAACAAACGCTTTGTGACGACCTCGGACGACAAGAGTCTGAGGGTGTGGGAATGGGATATTCCTGTAGATTTTAAGTACATTGCAGACCCCAGCATGCACAGTATGCCCAGCGTCTCTCTCAGTCATAATGGTGAGGAAATGGAAGTAGATGGATATGTATACTAGAATTGAGAATTTGCTTTAATGTCATCACGCGTATTGCAATTATTATGATTTTAAATGCTTTTTTTTTTTAAGGTAGGTTGATATGTACCTTAGAATTGACAATTTTTCTTATATATTGTTGTCACACTTATTTCAATTATTATGATTTTAAATGCTGTAACTTTTTGTTAAAGGTAGATGGATATGTACATTTAAATTAGAAATTTTCTTTTATTGTTGCCATGGTGATTAAAATTGTTAAGATTTCAAGTGTTTACCCCAAAAATACTTATGTACCATCAGTAGAGAGTTGGTGAAAGGAAGAGGAAAGTTGTATGAATACGGAAACCTAGAGATGTTGTGGTATAGTGGTTCGTTCACTTCACTCTCAATTCAAGGGTTGAGGATTCAAATCTCAGCCCGTGTGACAGATATAAGTGCTACGTGAGAAGCCATCATCATTGCTGTTGTTACTATAAGTAATAATTTTGTCTTGAGTAATATGTTTGGATTTAATGTAACACGTCGCTATATCACACCACGTTATTTTATTTACCAGGTAAATGGTTGGGTTGCCAGGCGATGGACAATCAGATCGTGATCTACAGCGCCATCAACAGGTTCAGACAGAACAGGAAAAAGATCTTCAAAGGTCACATGGTTGCTGGTTATGCCTGCCAGATGGACTTTGCTCCTGATATGAGGTAAGTGGTCATTATTTGATTTGATTTGATTTGATTTATTTATTTCTGTTTGATTTTCTTTTTCTTTTGCAGTTTTACAAATATATAACAAACAAACATTGCAAAGTTACACATGACAAAAGAATATGTAGAATAAAGTAAGGCTGGCTGTAACTAATCGAAAACATCAAACAGGAGGGTTGACAAAGTAAGCAAAGCTTGATAGTATGACTACCCTCAAAGGATACATAATAATACAAATATGGAGGAACAAAATATTGGTAAAAGGGGAAAAAGACAGAAAAAAGAAGAAAAACAAAAAGAGGGGATGCACATCAAGATTCACAGATGTACGTGGTAGTTGGATTTCAATTTGCTATATAAAGATAAAAAAGAAGATGCAAATATGAATATTGAGTGGCCAACTTGGGATATAATAGAATGAGAAGACTCGCGAGGTTCGGACAATATTTGTTTTACCTGACTGCTAAGAAAGCATGTGTATGCTTGTAAGTAAGCGATCAGGGGACCGATGGCTTTAAGTCCTCTCCAAGGGACTTGGAAAAGAGAATTAATGTGTTATACCAAAGGGCACTGGCACATCGACTTGCTTTTGATCCCAGGACCTCCCGGATACGAGACCACTGAGCCATCGCGCCACCAAAGTGCAGTATTGGTAGGCGCCAGAGCAATAAGAAAATACACTCGGATCCTATTTTTGTGTGTGGATTAAATGACAAATTCTGAGCAAATATTGTACAAGAAATCCACTGTATGTAACGTTTAAATAAAAATAGATGATGATATATGTTGTTGAAAGGGCATGCTTACCATCTTATATTTACAGTTACGTCGTTTCTGGAGATGCCGACGGCAAATTGAATGTATGGGACTGGAAGAGCACAAAACTGTACACGAAGCTGAAAGCGCACGACGGTGTGTGTATCGGCTGTCTGTGGCATCCGCATGAAACATCAAAAGTGATAACGTGTGGCTGGGATGGACTCATCAAACTGTGGGACTGAGACAATAACTGTGCATTTTCAGTGAACTTGAAAGCTTTGATGGAGACCAACTTTATATTCGAGTATATTGGACTGTGAAGGAGAAGTGCTCATATCCACAGGTTGGAGTTGCAGAAAGTTTGTCAGCTTATATTCTCATCATCACGCTGTACACCCTGACGCCAACTTCACGACCCGAAAGAAACAGAGACAGATTTGTGAGCATCATCCTGTATACACAGCACATGTTCTCGTACATTATATCAAATGGTGCCAACAAGAAACTGAGTGTGTGGGACTACATAATGGAAATATTGGACAGTTGAGTTGGAGGCTGTTTGAGATTTTCTGTCTGCATATATATATATATATATATATATATATATATGAAACGGGTAAAATATAGATTTAGGTATATCTTGCCTATATTGGAGATTTCCTGAAGTCCATTCCAGCAATCAGGTATGGGGTCATGTTTTACATAAATCTGTTTGATCAGAAGCTTAAGCTTGAATAAGATTATTTGACAGGTATACATGCATTGTACAATTAATGCACTCTTCATGCATTGTCTTTATACAAATAGACAACATTACCAACATTGCAAAATGCATGCTAACCATATAATTTGATTTCAATTTCCAATCATAAATATCTTGTTAATCAGACAGTCGATCTGCTTTTAAAATTCATGGGGTCCCTGACTGACCTAAAGGTTTATAATTATCATTGTAGCATGAGCTAAATCCAGGATTTTGTTTCAGAATCTGAGACAAAGAGACCCAATCCCTTCAAAATGATTCACACAAAGTCTTATTTTAGGATTCTGGCATAGACATGTATATTTACAGACTTCACCAGTACCAACTGTGTCTCATACTCTAGGTTTATTCTCTCATGTAAAACCCCATATATATAATTGACATTGCAATCAATACATACAAACTTTGAGTTAAGTATGGGCTTAAGAAACCTGACTAATAATGCAGGAAATGGTAAAGGGGGTGTAGCATGGCAAATACTGATTAACGCCATCTACGACTGACAGACTGAAGTTCTCTTCACGCTTCGGTTTCGCATATGTTGCATGCACGTGAATACTGCAGTCGCGTTGTCCGTAGTCGTATTATACCCGATTGGTCCCAAGTCAGGCCATGGGAAAGACACATAGTCTCGTCGTCATGCTACGCCCCTTTTAAGAGGACTTGAAAACCACTGATTAATACTTTGCAACCATGTTGAATTTCATTCCTTTGGCTTCCAAGAGAATGGCGTTAATTATTTAATGACATGTGCTTGAAAGGTAAATTTTCAATTTTAATTCGTTCCAATAGTCCCATATCACCAGAATGCCCAAATCAGTGCTTGTAATATAAATCAGGGTTCAGTGACACAAAGATGAACTCCATATTTTACCGAAATAAGTGTTTAATATCAAAATGTGGGCTTTCCAGGTAACACAAAAACTCAACTCCACCCAACACCCCATTGAAGTCAATGGCTAGTGAAACATAGACTTAAAGCCCAAGTGGACCTCTAACTTTAAACCCCTTTTTCTCAAAAATGGCCAAAGTGGAGTCACGTCTTTGTGTCACTGACCCCTCGAAATGTATTTATTTGTTTACTGGGCAGTCATAAATTGAAGGACATTATTGATGATATAAATTGAGTAAAAGGACATTGATACCACGTGCAGGCGGTTAGATGATAATACTTGTACAATATTTTGTATTAAAAACTATGTTTTTACTAGTAAACACTTTCTGTTTTTAGCTGGATCATGTCTTATTTTTGAGTACAGCAATAAGCCCTTGTCACAATCAGTTAGCTGAGGTATCTTTACATGAAATGACCACTAGAAAGGGAGGGAGGTGGAGAGCTAGAGGGGGAGGGGAGAAAGTTAGGGGAGAGAGAGGGGGAGGGGGTAGTTAGAATAATAGATGAAGAAAGAAGGGAAAGAGATGGAAAGACAGGGAGGGATAGAGTGAATACCCTAAGTGAGTTAAAGAGACAGAGAGAAGGGGAAAAAAGAGACGGGGGAGAAAATATCTAAGAGAAAATGGAAATATTCAAACCTTAAACCAACAATGTAATAAACTTCAGACCCTTGATATGGTTTCTTGAATATAGGTATACTGACTGGCATTTTCAGCTCTCAACCGGACTGTACCCTAATAAGGCCGGGGGGCCATTATGCCCACCCCCTCCACGATTTTTCTGATTGCTCGGGAACGCATATGGATGGCACCCCGCCGCTCATTGACTTTTTTCTTTCGAGTCTTGCGCAATTTTTGAAATAATTTTTTTGAAAATCGGACCTACGGTTACAAGGTCACGTGACCTTTTGTCTTTGCAGGTCAGCCCGAAAATCGCTCATTTTCGTGATTTGTGTACAAAACAAATGGAAAAGTCATTTTTCCTAAAAACAGATCAAACATGGGTTATTGGGTCTTGTTTTAAGTTTAGGTGGTTGTTTTGGGAGTCAAAATAGTTGAATTGTAGTAAGAAATGAAATAAAACAACAAAAACAATGAAATACATAAGTTAAAAAAACAATGAAATACATAAGAAATTATCAAAACAAGGGATAACATAAGGAATAAGCTGGCTCTCCCAAAAAAATTTGTCGTATTATTATTCAGAGTGGTCTAATAAATATATGTAGCGAAAAAGAATGCTTAAATATGAATGATATATGATTTATGGGTAAAAATGGGATTTTTATGACTTTATTTGCATAAATTACCATAAATATGCAAATGAGTGAATTTTTCAAAAAATTGAAATTATCATATTATTATATACACTTCACCTGACATGCGTGCAAATTTTCGAGGCAATCGGCCCCTTCGCGGCCGAGATCTTAAGGGGGGCCATAATGCCCGGCCGTACTAAGACCTCAAATAGCCCGGCCTTTTTAGGGTTAACGTGACTACCATACCCATTCTAACAATCCGTCATATGACGACACATATTGCACATTCGGCAAGCGGGAACGCGTCAACGGAAAATGACATTTGACAAATAGGCTTCCTTTTTAAGTCAAGACGGTAAAAGGGTAATGCAGTTTTTATGACTAGTCATAAAAGGACATTAAACTCGCGTTTTATTGAGTTATTGGTGTAGAGTTTATAATTCAGCCTCCGTTGTTTGAAATTTATTAATATACCACCTCCCTGCCTGGTACAGAAGGCATTTAAAGCCAGTTCGGATCTAAAATAAGCGAAATGTCAAATTATCTCTCGATAAAAGCATTGAGAAATGTCACATGATGAAGTTAGTTTATAGAATATATAGTAGAATGTATCTATCAACCTATTTAGATATACTAGTAATGTAAACTATTGCTTGGAAATGATAGCAAATTTACCATTTCGACAATGATCTAAATAAATGGCGGGTTGAAACATTCATTTTCTTTGCCATTTTCATTTTAATTTGCAAATTATTTAACTAACATGAGATATTCTTTAACAAAATGTGAAAGAGAAGTATTTCATCTCGCTGTCTTTAACACCCTACTCTCTTTCTCTCTTTCTCTCTTTCTCTCTCTCTCTCCTCGTCATCTTAGTCGGCCTCGCCCCATTCTTTCAACACATTTCCCTTCCCTTGCTCTTCTGTACCTAGACCTATTATTCATCCATTCATTCAATAAATTGATGAACTTTCCACTTTAAAAACACCATTCAGTCTAAGATTTAAAGATAAATACATTAAAGATCTTTTCAAGCATCATTTGAGGTACTGCTTTCTTCTATAAATATTATCCTTTTATTATGTAATGAAATACAACAGGCACAATCAAATTAATTTCCAGTTGCAACTTCCAGTACACTTGCATATTATACAGTTCGCATTTTGTATATACGCTGGAGAACGTGTTGAAACGTGAGATATTGACAACATCTGTGAGACTGACGATCATCAAATCATGAAATAACAAATCAGAACAACAGAAAGTAACAAAACACCATCGTCATCTGCGACCTAAATACCGTTAGACTAAAACAATTATTAACACCTAGCTTAAAACCAAAGGCTGAGACACAATGCAATGACTATATCCAGCTTCGATCGGTGTTTCTATATATTATGTGCACGCTCGTGTATCAATTTATGGAAGGTCATGGGAAAAGCTAGCGTGGGAAAGTGAAAATTATTTCTAAGTTTAGGTCCTCAAGAAGAATGGGCCATTTAAACAACAAAAAGTGCAGTCGTAGAGTGGGGAATTTTAGAAAGTTTAGTGAATCAGTACGGGATCGATTTTAGGGCGTTTGTAATGCGTCGCTTTCCGCTCTGTGCTGCCCTAGATTGGCTGAATAGTTTCACACTTCAGCATAGCTCGAGATACAGCCCTCGACCTCGGGCTGTTTTATCGGAGATGTGTACATGAGAGCTGCTATAGTCAACTTAATTGGTTAACAAAAGAAAGGAAGTAAAACAAAGTAACGGAAGAGTATATTCATTAAAAAAAAAGACGATTATTAAAGGGGGTATATAAAACTAAGTAATGATAACTTTGGGAGGTGCCCTGTGTCTAGTCATGGAAGGGGCACTGAAATCATTGAAGGGGCGGGGGGAGGGGCACACATCGACTCCGACATCGCCCTCAATGTGGATGAAATTGGTTTTTAACAAGTCCATCGATTAGAGGTAAGGGGCTTGAGAGGTCCATTTTATCTCCCTTTAGCGGTTCTTTTCACCTATACCCCGCTTTCACTATTATTTCACCGCTTTTTCATCCAGGGGTGTAGTGCCCCCGTGGCCAGATAACTTTCGGCAGTACTATGGATAGGAGAGAGAGAGAGAGAGAGAGAGAGAGAGAGAGAGAGAGAAAGAGAGAGATTATTTATGATAAATAACCATATAGTAAGCAAACACTGAAAGGGTAATATCTTTGTTGTTATCTTCAAGGACTAAATCTAAAATGATTGTTTTAAACTTCAACGGACTTTTTTTTTACATTGTGTATCGTTTTAATCTGAAACCCTTTGCTATTTGATTTATTTCTAGCCTAACCTATTTTTAGTATCAAGAAAATGCAGTAGCAAAATCTCATAAACAAAGTAAATGACATGGCTTGCTGTTGTGCAAAACTGGTATTTAACTTCTTTTTTTTATAATTTTATTTAAAAGTCAGGTAAAAACAGAAAACAGTCTGGGGAAATTTTGTTAAATATTTGTTAATTTTTCGTGAGTTAGTGTAGATAATACAGTCCCAATTCTATTGCCTGAAACAGTTTGGTTTTAATGAAGTAAAAAGGAAGACAACAGTAATCCTAATCTTGATGATTTTGACGATCTAGCGTAAGATTATACCATTCGACAAAAAACTGAGGTTTTAAGGCAAGATCGCCTCTTCTCGACTATTCTGTATTAGGATCGAATTGATTGTGATGTCATAATGCAGTTGGTTGTTTGTGCAGTTGCCGAAGGTTCGCTGGGAAGTGACTAGCTTTTTATAGATTTGTGCTTTGCGTTGAATTGAAATGGGCAGACATTAAGAAAATCAATGGACGTAATGGCAGTGAGTTAATTTTCCAGTTGTTATCAATGAATCGTTATATGATTGTAGCAGACAGTTATAATTTTGTAAGTCATAATTATGAAGAGGGATTCTGTATGTTGAAAATAGGGGCGTAGCCTGCACGAGTCCATAGACATCGTATTAGTACACTACCCCTCCCCCTCTCTCTCTCTCTCTCTCTCTCTCTTTATATATATATATATATATATATATATATATATATATATATTTAGATTTGGTCTATTCCTCCGTACAGTGCTCAATGCTTATAGGCAGAGCGTGAAACTCGGAGTTGCAACCATGTTCCATATATTTCCCAAACATGCCATACGAATTTCTTCTTTCTTTTCCCTCTTTTTCAAAAACTTG